GGAAATGTACAGCAATTAGCCTCTAACTGTGAAGAAAAGCTTATTTTAAATTTATCCCTTATGAATTTCCCATCACTGTTAATGTTCTGCTTTTTCAATCCTATGTGCTAAAATGTGCTTTTTTAACTTAAAATATTATAGTCAATTGAGGTAACAAACAATTGTTAATTTGCATGTATATATATACATGTATTTTGATTTTAAGTACTATATAATCGACACATGCAAAAAAATATTCCAACTGAAACTTGATGTCTGACTTTGTGATATATAATGGCATGTAACTTTAGAATTCACATTGAATTGTTATCTTTTTTTTTTTTTTTTTTTTTTGTAAGTCAGTGTGTAGTCTTGCAAGGAAATAAAAAAGCAGTAACAAATTTTAGGCCTAAGGCTTTATGTTAATGTGAGCCATCCATTATTTATTTTTTATTTTTGCAACCTACTTATCTATGACCTTCACAAAAGAAAGCAAGGTAAGTGATGGGTGTCCCCTGGGCTCATATGTAACTGGAGATTTTAAGAAAGTGCCGATTTGATAAAGGAATACATCTCTTAATGACAGCTAGGGAAACTACTGCTGTGATTGACAACAATACAGCACGACAACCCTTATCCTCTCTTGAATACAGCTTACTCTCCTATACAGCTATTTTAAAGCAATTTCCAAAACTTACGAGAAGATATTTAAGAGAAAGAAGTGTTGACGTTGTCTAGGATTAGTGTTTGGCAGATCTTGTGGTCATGTTTTTAGTATTTTTAATATTGCAATGCTTCTGTTCTTAGGTTTCTACCTTCTTTGACTTCATTAATTACTGGAGGCGTGACTAATTTGGGTTAGTGTGATGAAGAGAAAGAATGTAAGATAGTAAACATTTCTTCAGGATATTCTAAAAAGGAACTTCCTGAAAGTATTGCCAGCATTCATAATAAGGGGCCCACTAACTTCCTACAGGTGACACAGAAATATGTACGTTTTGGGGGCATGAGACTTTGGTCTGATTTCTCTGCCAGTCCAAGTCTCATCCCAGAGGTGGGCAAAGAAGAGATCTGGAATAATCCTTCGCAAAACAGACTCTGTAGAGATGGTCATGCCTGAATAGGAAATAGCTACTAACTTCTCCTACTGTTAGCTCAAGCTCTTGCCTGGGATATTTGTGTTTTCCTGTTTGTGAATGACGGAAACAAGGTGAACTGGAGTATCCAGGCTGGTAGTCATTTAGGCGTTTGGTTATTTCTCTCCCTAACTGTAATAGATCAATCTAGTATATTCATATTTGTCTACTGTTCATGATACAGTGTCTGAGCAAATGTGACAGTGGGAGAGGGTATTTTTTAAGGAAAATAGAAAAAAGGTCATAGGCAGGAAAATCAATAGCAACCTACCCCAGGACATCTTCATTATGGGTGCACTGAGGACATATCGGTCAAATCCAAAAGAAATGGGAGGGAAGGAAGAGGTTAACGGAAGAAGAACATATAGGAGGTGGGTGGGAGAAGAGAGAGAGAGAGAGGCAGGGGTGGGGGTAGAGAAAAATACTATAGGTACACTTTATAGAGATGTCAGAACTGTAATTTATCGATCAGTCAACTACATCTGCCTGTGGTATACCTTATTTTCCACTTAAAATTTTGGGTTTGACTTCTCTTTTCTGTTTCAAAGTTAAGAATGTTAGAGTAATAATTAAGTTTAAGTTAATGATACTTTAAAAGACCCTAGATACAGCATCTAACCTTGTGTCTTTCACCTGGTAAGCTTGTTATACAGTTTACGATGGAGAGATAAAAGCAATATCAAAAGAAACATATTAAAGTTGTTAATAAATCGGTATGTAATCATTTTCAAGGAAATCAATAGAGATTTCCTGCTCTGAAGTATAGAAATGAAAAAGGGAATGGTTTTCTATTTAGGTTGTATTTTTGGAATGTGTAGGTTTCTCTGTTCCTTGTGATGTAGTCCATTATCTGAGAAGACTTCTGAGTATCTTTGTGATTAAAATATTTTACAATAGCCACAATTCTAAGAAGAAAAGGTATGGATGGAACTTTTTATCAACACACAAGGTTTTGTTTGTTTGTTTTTTTAACTCTTCCCTTCTTTTCAATTTAATGATGTGCCAATTCTGTTTTCGTCTCATTACCTTAACTAACTGGCAAGAAAAAAGGTTCTATGAACCAGCACAAGAGTCTGGCAAGAGCAGTGGTAGAGAGTTTTTCTCCAAACCTTCATAACTACCCTAATAGCACTTCACATTAAATTAATACCCAAAGCTTAAGCTCCAGAATGGACAAATGGATAATCATATACATTTTTTCTATCTCTTTATTTTATTTTTATCTCACATCTCACATGAATCTACACTCATGCCAAGGACATTTTTCTCCGTTCTGATTGTGTGCTTTAAGAACCAAGTTGATGTTGCCATTCGCAAGATAAAACAATCGCTTTTCCCTAACTCATGCTTGAAACCAATTCCTACCTGCCTATCATAGAGCATTTAAGATAATTCTCCAGTCACATAGTTTAAAAGTCTTATTGGAAAAAAAAAAAAAAAGCCAAAAGATTGTTTTTGAAATGATCACAGAGTTTCAGATTTGCAGCTGTCAATTAGCCACTGCTCTTTATGCCTCTCCCAGGAAGAGAAAGAAATGACTCCAATGACTTCACTTCTTTGCTCAGATTTCATATCCATGGATCTCGCTATCTCCTCTTTTAGAAGATTTTGGTCTTTTATTATAATGACTCACAATAGAAAAGGCAGTGACACCTGGTGTACATATGTTTTTCTAAGACATCAGAAACTCTTTCACTTGGGAAAGGACTGTGTAAAAAGTCTGCGCCTGGTCAGTTTTATATAGATATTTTTAAACAGGAGGATTAATGGCAATATAACACCTTTTCTTTTGGAGAGACTCTTTTGAAGAGCTGGAAAGATTAAGTGTGTAAGAAGAAACCTCGGATTTTTCAGATTTTGCTCAATCTATAGCAGTGTCCTTATTGTTTTCGCTGCAACTATGAACAGGAGAATGTGTAATAAAACCGCACGATTTGACAGATTTAGACAGCTGGCTCCCTTACCAGAAGTTCACATTTTGTTAATGTCACCCACGCTGAATAAGGGACGATTAGATGGTAAGGTCCATTTACAAAAATGGTTGTCAGGACATTTTTTTTTTTTTTTAATTGTAAAACTTTCTGTGATGGAATTCAGTAAAAGGGCTATGAAGAGAAAGCAAGGGAGACAAAAGACTGCTATTAACCTCCAGATGCAGGCTACTGCAGGTTCAGGGCAAGATTTGTCACACTCTTGGGCCAATGAAGTGTTAGTGTGACTAGAAGGGACCACCCCTTTTCTGGGGTAAGAGGGCAATTTGGTCTCCATGCTCATTTAATCCGGAGACTTCTTTGAATAGACTGTCAATTGAATCTAAATTGTGCAAAATTATGCATGCACTTTTTAATGCAGGCTATTGTTCACTAAGCACTGAACCAAGGTTTCTCAACCCATTTCCATTAGGCATGAGGTCACTTGAAACTTAAGTAATCATATATGGAAGACAAGAGCAGTGTACTTAAACAACCTTTCTACATAAATGCTCAGTGTGCTTTAATTGCAAATCTCTCACCTTAAAACAATAGAGAAATACTAGTTACATGATTTTATTCTTTTTAATCGAGGCTCACATTCCTATAGGTAAGGAGCAGATTTGGAAAGTCAGCCTGTGCTGCATAATCTACGCTAGCGTACAATTTAGATTCTGGAAGAACAGATGTTTACAGGACAACTTAGAGCCGGTGTGCACATCATGAGAGATGTTTTCTCAGTAGTGCAAAGAGGACTTATAATTTTGTTATGATCTGAATGTGGAGCGCTGGCCTCGAAAACCAGTAGGAAAAATGTCTATCAGACTTTCGCTGCTTTAAATTAGAACATGGCCTCTCTTTAAAAACCTGAAGAGAACATTTACAAAAAATTATTCATACATTAACCAAAGAGGATTTTCATCGAGTTCTAAAGGAACATATACAATAAAACTCATATTTGGAGAGAATTATTGTTTAAAAAATTTGTACAAGTGACAGCTTACATAGCCAAGATTTGTTAAGAACAAGTGAGCTCTTCCCCAGTGAGTTTTGTTCAGTGGGAAATCTGCAACATTCTAATCACATATACACTGACAGTCTTGCTATGGTGAAAAGTGCTTTACATAAGTTTAATGCTGGAATTTTATAAGGATTGGCTGTTTTCTTGCTTTTTCATCCGTCGTTAATGATTACATGTTGGCACAAGGATACATGGCTAGATTAGATCCACAGCACATTAAAGACTGTTTGCTCACTCCCCTTCTTTCCAATTAAGTTGGTGAAAAATGTAACTTTAGTATTTTACAGGACAGGGCAAAGGTGTTTCATCTAGGTGATGTCTATATTATAAAAATAAAATAAAAAATATAAATAGGTAACACAAACCCAGTGCCTATTATTAGATACAATATATAATAAAAGCAGACCTTTTAGGAAGATTGATTTTAGAATATGCTGTTATGATTTAATTATAAAACACTTGAAAACAATTTTGAGATTAAACTAGAGTAACCAGATTTCTCGGCCAATGAGAAGGTAAGTGAGTAACATTCTATAACTGGATACATGGATACAAATGAAGATTACAATTTTATATCAAGTCTCCCGTTTGTAAATTCATCAGGGAGTTCTGAAACATTCTCTCACATTATAATCCTTTAATATAAAAATATTGCCTTTTTTTTTAATTAGATCCATCAGATTGCACAGTCATGTTTCAAAACTCCATTAAGTTGACTTAAGTTATTACAGACAGAAAATTCCTGGGAAGTCAAATAATCTCCTCTGGTGACATAAAAAATTCCGTTATCAATTTACAATGGAATTTCTGTGTAAATTACTCCACACAAGGAAACATATATTTTTAAAACCCATCTCTTAGGCAACCACGCGTATAGGGGTTGTGAGTGTGTGTGTGTGTGTGTGTGCGCCTAGGTGAACAAACGTGCCAACGTACACACACAGGATCTGCCCATTTCTGGAAAATTATTTTTAAATTAATAAAAGAAAATGAAATCACAGGAAGTGTGTAGCAGGATAACAGTCTTTCTTTTTAATGACAGGATAAAAAATAAATGCCCATTGGAAAGGAATATTCAAACAGTCCCAGAAACTATACAATGTAACTTGTTAGATCCAGCAAATAAGATGTCATGTCAATGATCTGATCAAGAATACCTGCCCGGGTCACTCGGCGGAAGTTTCTGTCCACTTGTTCACACTGAGGACCAAGATATCCTTTTTTACAGAGGCACTTGTTTGGTCTAACACAGACACCTCCATGACGACATGCTGGCTCACATTTTGCTGGGAGGGGGGGAAAAAAAACCAACAAGCAATAAAATCACACTATCGTTCTGCACGTCAGAAACAGCACCAAGTAGGAGGCCAACAAGTATTTGATGAGTAGGGGAAGGGAGGAGGAGGAGGAGGTCTCCAGTCACAGAATGATCCAAAAGATAATGAATACAAGAAGGAAGGCAGGTTATGCGGGGGCTAGAAGTCAGTAGAGAATGGAAGACATTTCCAGGAAAGCAGAGATCATGGGAAACGATTTCAATCCCTTGCGGAACTGACTCTGTTTAAAACGAGGATTTCAGCTCTTTCAAACCTCTGTTCCACTAGGGCATTTCCAACAGAGGGCCTTCCAAGTACCTCTATGTTCCCATGCCTCCGCGGCAGGACCTTAAAATGGGAAGGGCCAAGCCTGAAAGGGAGACCTAGCGGCTTCAGCATCTTCGGTGCAGTATAAAGGAACTGTCAGTTCTCAGGTTAGATGGGATCTCTCCCATGGGGACCGACCGCCCTGGATTCTTCTTTCTCTTGGCTCCCGGGGAGCGCATTCTATGGCTTCATCTCCAATTACACTTTCTAGCCCCTGCTTGGGACAGTGTGGTCAGCCAGGGAAGGATAGTAGTAGCAATCCTTTTCAGGGTTACTCTATACCCAGGATCTCCTCGTATAAGGATTTTTACCACTACAATGGTAAATGCAGCCGACTTCGCACCTGAGTGACTCAGTCAGCTAAATGTCTGACTCCTGGTTTTGGCTCAGGTCATGGCTCCATGCTGGGTACGGAGGCTGCTAGAGATTCTCCCTCTCTCTCTGGCCCCACCCCCCCACACCCCGCTTGCACACTCTCTCTCTCTAAAATCAATCAATCAATCAATAAATAAACACACAAATAAATAAATAAATTCTCTTTAAAGAAAGATCTACTGCTAAAATGAGATGCAGAGATGAAGTTGGTTGTATATGTTAACTGTTTTACTGATGAGCTAAATCTGGGATGTGCAGCAACTGTAGACAGAATTGAATTCCTTGAACATGTTTCTTTATACTTTTAGGGGACAAGGTTATTTTAACCTTTTCAAATGCATTCATCAAAACCCAGGGGTCTGAGGAGCCTGGGTGGCTCAGTGGGTTAAAAACCCAGGGGTCCGTGGCTGACAAATGAAAAGGAAAAAACAAGAGAATAATTAGAGATTTTTTTTTTTTTAATTTGTAGGAGATGAACTATGTTAGTGTATGAATAAAGCTCCTGCTTGGGTCAAAAACATCATGAATAGATTACTTTTATAAAATGGTTCTGGTTTATCATATATTCAAACTATTTAAACCAACTAGTAGAAAGATGAAAGTACTGAAATCAAACTTTATGTTATCTCAAAGAATGTCTGTTTTCATCTACAACACCTATTATTATTATTATCTATAATGGTATGTATAATGCCACCTATATTCAAAATAATTTGCTGACCCTTAGTTAAACATACTATTACCAGAAGGCACTCAGTAAATTTTTGTTATCTGCTAACTTGAGGTGACTTAAGAGGTTAGGCAAAATATAAAGTAAGAAGTACAACAGAATGAACACTGTATAAAAGAAGCAGAGAGAATAGGTATCGTCAGGCATTAAAGGGAGCAGAAGAAAGATATAGTATCAAGAATTAGAATATTTGTGCATTTGAACAGTGATTCTCATTTTTGGGTCAACTATGGAAAAAGAAGACAGAATGGGTCAACAAAAATAAATATTTGTTTTAACTGATGTAATTACTTAGAGCTTTAATTAAGATAGCTCTCTTCTAGACATAGAACCCTAGTATTAATCAACCCAGTAGGGTTATCCCTGCTGAAGCAATTTAAGCTTAAAATGTATACTGTATGTGTGACTTTAACTGTTGGCTACATTTTGTTAGACAATATATAGACAAGTTGTGGTTATAATTTTTGAAACAAGCATATGTTTAGAATAAAGATTTAGGCATTAAAGATAATTTAGGCATTAAAGATAATATAAAATATGAATTTGAAAACATTTTCATTGGCAAGAGATACTTTAACATCTGAGATAGCAGAGATCCAGTTCCTTTGTAAGAATATGCATGTGCTCGTTGTTGTTTGTAAGAAAATGTGTATGCATTTAAAAATGCACTTATCCTTATGGGAAACTTTTTCCAGTTTTACTGGGAAATAAATGGCAGGCATTGCTGTGTAAGTTTCAGGTACACACCATGACGGTTTGGTTTACATATACTGTGAAATGATTCCCACAAAAGATTTAGCTAACACCCATCATCTCATAGATAAAATAAAAGAAAATTTCTCCTGAAAATGCACTTTCAACATATACATCTTAAACTAGGTGTCTGAATTTATCTAATTTTCTTCACATCAAGCAGAATTTAACATCGTTGCATGTAATTGAGGAAATCCCTGGTTAAAGGATAGAGTAACCCTGGGATAAATCTCTTTGGCTGTCTTTGAGCAGCTGCACACCTAGTTGATGGGTCACAAGGGAGTGGGAAAAAGAATTAAAAAATCTTATAATGTGCCTCTAGATAATTGCGTTTTCCCCTTTTATTTAATAACACCCACTGAAAAACCCTGTTTTTAGTGCACTGTAGCAAGAAAGCAAGCAGTAAAGTTAGGGAGGGCATTTATGGGGTGTCTGGAAAATGCTGGCACTTGGAGAGGGGCTTTGCAAACACTAGGTCATTGGCTGGTGTGAAATCTCAAACCTAGGACTGAGAGCCTGTACAGATGATTGAGTTGTGCTGTGTTCATTCTGTACCTTTTGAAAGGACTCAATTATTTAGAAGTCTTTTACGTTTATGATTAACTTAAAGTGAATTGTTTACAATAGGAACACGGGAAAGATTTCATCTGCAAGTTCAGAAACAGACTAAGTGTTATTATGATAAATGGATAAGTTTTGAACCGTTGATCATTCTAGAAGAAATAGCTGATATTAGGTTCTTGAGTTCCCAAGGACTGTCCAATGCCCGGTCTTTCCTGGGGACAGCAGAAACACTCACCAATTCTGCAGAAGTCCCCTTCCCATCCTGGGGTGCAGCAGCACTTGCCCGTTGGGGTACAGTAGCCGTTCCGACAGAGCCGGGAACACTCTGAAGTCAGTGTCTGCGCAGGTTGTACCGTGGCTTTGCATTCCTCAGGCATTAGAGGTCTGCATCAAAAGACAACATTTCCATGTGTATGTTGGTTGAAAATCAGTATTAGGATGAAACCCAGTGATTTTGTAGCTTGCAAAGAATTTCTTTTGCTTTCTAAGGAGACCTTTCTTTTAAGCAGCTCAGAAAGATCGACAACTTTCTGAGAGTTGAAAATCCACCCCAGCAAAGCAAAATCTAACTGACCAGTTTTGAACCAGAGAATATATTAAATATTAAAAGGAACTTTATCGTGATCAAAATTCATTAAAACTGTAATTATATCGATATTTTCCATTCAGTAGCTAAACATTTCTAGCAGTTAAAATTCTTAAAAAAGATCTATCGATATTTTAAAACATTTTTCCCAGATCTATAAAAATTATTAGGAATAGTATCTGAGATAGTTTTTGCTTGTTATTGGCATATTTGGAAATATCACAGAGCTGAAGGCATTCATCTAAATGAGCACTTGCAGCCTAAAAAAGCTTGGGAATCCATTTTTGTTTCATTTTACATTTCTCTTGAAATACCTGTCTCAGATTGATTTTTCTTGAAGGGGTATCTGTGTGTGTGTGTGTGTGTGTGTGTGTGTGTGTGTACTATTGACTCAAAATTTCAACACTTTATGCAAAAAATAATCCACATATATATACATTTTTATATATACATATGAATTTATATATATATATATATATATATATATATATATATATATACACAGATACGTTTTGTAATCTATGAATAAAAAGAATGCTATCAACAAACAGAAATAAACATCGTATCTGCTAAGGAAAAAGTCATAGACTTTAACTGCTCTAGGACTTTAGAGATGCCTTCAGAAGATTTTTATGCTTCTTACTGTTTCCAACACAAGAGGTTGTCTTTCAAGCTGAGTGAGGCTGGAAGCATGGTCACAACCACTCATTACCTAATCTTGGAGAAACAACAGGCAGTGGAACTCCTCTATCAGTCACTGTGCCTGTGCCCCAGTGTGGTGAGAAGATTCTTTTCAGTTCAGGAATGTAAACAAACGCTCATCACCGCTCAACTCACCACCATTAAGACGGCCAAGGCAGTTGGACTCCTTAAGCACCGTTAACAAAGAAGGTGATAATTATAGGTCAAAGCCACTAAAAGAAGTAAATGATACAGCCTTCGGAGATAAGCCAATAATTGGGCCCTGTAGACTCCAGTTTTCTCGAGATAGGTTATCTTGTTATGTCTTCCTGGCAATATAAAGTGATAATACTTTGGGGCCTGACTTCAGGCTGTTCCTACAATGACTCAAAATCACATTCAAAATATATAGTGACTTCTTTAGGTCCTCTCTCCAATAAACATCTAACTCTGTGTTGAAAGTACTGTGTTTCAACTAATGTGACTAATGTGACAATTCAGAAAACTCCCTTAAATCTATTCAACCTCTTTTGAAAATCTAGAAGTGGTCAATTTATGTGAAAGGTCGTCAAGGCATTCTATGGACTGTGTGTATTTTCACTCAGACAACACTAATGAATAATTTCCATGTGTTCCCCAAGAGAGTCTTTTTGGGGGTAATGGGGAGGGTTAAAGTGGAAAAATAGTGAAATGGGTATGCCAAGGAAAGTGGAGGCATTAACTTCGCCTTCCTGTTTTGTTGCTCTGTGTTGTTGGCTCTAATTCTTCCTCAATAAAATTCTTACTTTGTGAAACCATGATGTCATTTTTGATCACCAGAAGAGCTGTTTTTCAATAGCCATGAAGTTTCTTTGAGTCGATGACATTTATCCTCTGAGGCTGTGGCATTCAGTAAACAGGTATTTTACTGGTAACTGAAATTCTGTTTATGCAGTTTCTACTGATTACTCCCTCATTCACTGTCTTTCTGACTCGTTCAAAAAGAGATTCTAAACTAGTGTGTGTCAAAAATACATTACATTTTGGGACACCTGAGTGGCTCAGTTGGTTAAGCATCCAACTCTTGGTTTCAGCTCAGGTCATGATCTTGGGGTCATGGGATTGAGCCCCGCATCAGAGGTCCATACTCAGCAGGTAATCTGCTGGAGATTTCCTCTCACTCTATACAACCCCACATGCTTGCTCTCTCCCTCTCTAAAATAAATAAATCTTGAAAATATATATGCTTATATATAAAAATATGTATATTTATATATATTACATATGATATACATGATACGTATTTTTATATATATCATATCATGCTATATATGATGCAAAATATGCAGGCACACAGCTCATACACTACTTGACAATATGGTTTATGTCTGAGCGGATGAATTTAAAGAGGAGAGGACATCATTTAGGGCAAAAATGTAAATTACCTGTTAAACAACCACCACCAGAAGATGTTGCCCATCTGAGGCAAAGTGTAGGGACACTGATTTGTGTGCACCAGGGAAAGGAATGAGGATGTGACAAATCAGGACCCAACAGTGAAGTAAAGTTCTTCAGGAGAGGGCAACTGCCTCTTGTTTCCCTGCTGATCCTCCAGTTCGATGCTTTGACTGTTTTTCACCAAACATTCAAATATGTGGAAACTCAGATGGCAGGGAGTCGGGGGGCTAAGTTGTTTTTTGCCTAAGATTTAGTAAATGCTTATCTAGCTGTGGATATAATTATTTCATACTTGGGTCTGTTTAGTTTATATAAAACTATGTGGCTATCATATAAGAATGTGATTTCCTTAAGATTTTATTTAAATACCCAGAAAATAATCTTTTTTTTTCTTTAATGAAGTGGCAACTACCATTCCTCACTTAGCATGTTAAAGAAATCCTCTCCCTCTCTTTAAACTTATTCTACTGGGAATCCATTAATGGAAAATTTTCATGAAGGACAGTCCGTCCCCCTTTTTTAAAGTAGGTTTTTTTTTTTTTTTTAAGATTTTATTTATTTATTTGACAGAGAGCACAAGTAGGCAGAGAGGCAGGCAGTGGTGGGGGGGCGGTGAGCGGCGGCAGAGCTCCCTGCTTAGCAGAGAGCCTGATGTGGGGCTTGATCCCAGGACCCTGAGATCACAACCTGAGCCAAAGGCAGAGGCTTAACCCACTGAGCCACTCAGGCGCCCCAAGTAGGTTTTTATTTTTATCATGGGGCTTGAATTCATTACCCTGAGATCAAGAGGCCCACACTTTATTGACTGAGCCAGACAGGTGCTCCAAGGACAATCCATCTCTCATAGAATGTCACTTTTCTTAATGATTGTATTTCCCTTTCTCCTTTCCCATCGCCATTGAAATGAAAGCTTTCTGAAGGCAAAAGGGACATATTCAATCCTCCTGAAGACTAGTCAGTCACTCACTCAGGCAAGTACTATGATCTTTATGGGATAAGACTAACAAAACAGGGTTCCAACCCTCATGGAGACACCAGGGAGCAGACATTCGAACACAAAAGTCTAACGCAGTGTAGCCTTTGTTACGATGTAGGTGCATGTGAAGTAACACAAGAATACAGACAAGGAAGCAATTAGTTTAGGATTGAAAGATGTTTTACAAGATGACATTTAAACCACTGAAGTATTTTATCTCCTTCAACTACTTATATTCAGAAGAGCTAGAAAACACTACAGATGCATTCAATAAATGTTAATAGAATGCATATAGTAGGACTATGTTTCCCTCTCTTCTCCTGTGTCCCTCCAGGCCCTAAGAAAATGTGTAGAATATGGAAGATACTTAAAAGGCTATTGAATGAATGAATAAATAAGGATATGGAATTTTAAGAGAGTGCTTGTTTCTTTTCTGTGCTACTGAGTAAAGATATTAGGAATACATGGACTATTTAGGGGAATGATATCATTAAAATCTAGCTGTTATACTTCTATATCATAAACTTAAAACTAAAACACTTGCTATATTTCTGTCGCCTAAATTAAGTCAAGTCTTACAAAATTTTTCTAAGGCATAGTTAAATTCATTTTCAGTGAAACATTTTTACATTAATCATAGTCATAGTAAATAAACAACCAACAAAGAAGTAAGCATGATATGAAGATAGGATTGTCTTCTCCTCCAACTGGGAATCACACCAATGTATTAAAATTCATTTTTCTGGTTATGTATTTGATAAAGTCTAACAAAGAGTTTTGGTTATCCCAACCATCCTCCTCCACTCACTCTCTGTTCTAGTGACATTTCTTCCTTCCACTGAAAAGAACAGAAAATTGCAATGAGGAGAACAGAAAAGGGAATAAAACAAGTAAATGTGAACTTTTACGGTCTCACCTTGAAATAGACCATCATATGTGTACATAATTACTACATATACACAACTACACGGCATCGAAGCAAAAATCTAGAGTATGGGGCGCCTGGGTGGCTCAGTGGGTTAAAGCCTCTGCCTTCAGCTCAGGTCATGATCCCAGGGTCCTGGGATCGGGCCCCACATCGGGCTCTCTGCTCAGCAGGAGCCTGCTTTCCTTCCTCTCTCTGCCTGCTTCTCTGCCTACTTGTGATCTCTGTCTCTGTCAAATAAATAAATAAAATCTTTAAAAAAAAATCTAGAGTATGTATTTATGTATACACATGTACATATAATATACATATATGCATATAGAGATAGGTTACCTCATTCTTCATTCTTATTTTTATTGGACTGGAAAGTTGGGTGTTTTAATGTAGGTGTACTAAAATTGCTTAAATAGTTTTGTTCTTCTTTTAAACAATCACTTTCTTAACTTTCGGATTCTTATCTCTACTGAATAAAGTCGAAGATATCTTTTAAAGTAGAAAATTTAACTAAAAGGTTATTGATGTTTGTAATAAGTAATATATCAAATAATAAGTAATAAGTAATATATCAAACCCATTTGTTGATAATTATCTCTATAGTCTTCAAACCTAATTTAAATCAGAAATACACTTTACAATCTTGACACTTGACAATGAAACAATCAGGACTAGTACCAAGAAATTGTCCAATATTCTTTAATGCATAAAGCATTGTTTCTGGAAATAGAAACCCACTCTGTCTGGGTTTGAGTAGAAGCATAAAGGTTGAAATACTTTCTCAA